GTTTCCAGGGAAACATGTTTTTCCATGCAGACTGGGAAAACAAAACAAAAAACAATAAAAATCAATTCATCTTCCCCACCCAACCTGGAAGATTCCACAGCGTCAGGGCTGGTGCACCAAGTTAATTATAAGACTGTGTGACTTATTGTCTGTGGCTTGCGTGTTTTATACTGAAATGAATATAAAGGGTAATAATTTCCATTCAATTGTTAACCATTATGCCTTTATAATTCTAAACATCATTGTTTCTGAAGTGAAAACCTCTATTTATTTGTGTGTAGAAATGACATGGTTGCAAAGAAAAATTAACTTTAAAAGATTGATAACTATAAAGAATGGCATTTGTAAAATCTTTCAACTTCTGGAAGAATCAAGAAAGGATCCTTGAGTGTTGCTGATTCATACACTGTGAAATTTTTAATTAGCTGTGTTAAAAAAGGGTGTTCTGAAACTTCTAAGTCTCGGCCATAAGAAACCTTGTAGATTCCACTTGGTTCTCTGGAAACACCTGCTCTTGGAACCCTGAGCCACCTCGTAAGAAGACGGACCTCATCTCACTGAAGAGACCACAGGGAAAGACCCAAGACTACATGGAAAAGGAGAAGCCCAGTTGGGACTGACCTTCTAATTGTTCCTGCCAGGACCCAAGGCACGTAAGTGAACCTGTCTTGGACCCTCCAATCTGGCCACCAGATGAATTTCACCAAATGACCCCAGTTGACATGTGGAGCAGACGTATCAGCCAACTGAGCCCTGACTCACAAAATCATGATGTTCCATAAACTATTGTCTTAAATCACTAAATTTTGGTATGGTTTGTTAATAGCAATATGTAATCAGAATGTTCTTGTTAAATTCTTAACTTATTTGACCAAAGACCTTATTCATTTATTTATTGCCAACAAAGGATTTCTTAGCTGTATTTTGGAAAACATTGTTCCAGGCAATAGAGTCCCCCATCTATCAACTCCTATCCCTTTGGCACCTGTTTTCAGCCTGTTTTTGCCTGTTCTTAGCACTGTTGCTACAGATTCTCACTTCCCACCGAGCTTTTAGCTAATCCTTTCTTGAGTCAGGGTGTATGTGTGGACCTCTTGTTTAGCAGCCCAAGTGACTCCATATCAAAGTAGAAGGAGGTCTTATCCCAAAGACCCTTAGATGAGGGTCTTATCCCAAACCTTGTGCCAGTCCTAGTAAGTCTAATTCTCTGTTTTTCTCATGTTATAACCCCAATCACTGGGTCTTAACCTTGTTCATTCTGCTTAAGGGTCTAACTTGATAGTCTTTCTAATACTCCACTCTAGATTGAGATCCTTCTTTGTTTTCATTTTCTATAAGCACCTTTAGCATCTTAAAACAATACCAATTTATTCTCACAGTTCTATAGATGTCTAGGCTGAGCATGGTTCAGCTGGGTGTCTGCTCTGGGTATTGCCAGCTTGGAATAAGGTGGCAACAGGGCTGCATCTTTTTCTGGAGGCTCTGAGAATGAATCTGATTTGAAGTACCTTCATGTTATTGCTAGAATCCAGTGTCTTGCAGTTGTAGAACTGAGGTCCCTGTTTCCTTGCTGGCTGTCAGCTGGCAGAGGTTCTCAGCTTCTAGATGCTGCTTGCATTCCTTGGCTTGTGTTTCCCTTTCTCCATCTTCAAAGCCCAGCAATGGTGCATGGAATCCTTCTCATGCTTGAAATTTCTCTGACCTCCCTTTCTGCCGTTCTCGTCTGCTTTTAAGATTTCATGTAATTACATTGGGCCCTCCTGTTAATCCAGGTTAATCATCCTATTATAAGCTTTATGAGCTAGTAACGTTAATTCCATCCACAAAATACTTTCACAGCAGTACCTGGGTTAGTGTTTGATTGAATAATCAAGAGATGGGAAATACTTTAGAATTTTGCCTTCCACAATGTGTCATCACAACAACTAAAGATCTGTCTTGAAATCAAGGAGCTGAGTTCTTGCTACCATCCATATACCCTGGCTCTCCTACTTCCCTGCCCTAACCCTGGCTTGCCTTTTTTCTAAAATGTCAATGTTGCCTGTTTAAAATATTTCCATTACCACGTTTTGCCCACTTGCTAAGACACCATTGACCATTTTCAGAATCCCCTTAATGAAGATTTCTGCCTTGATTGTCATCTATCCATTCATTCATTCATTCAACAAGTACTTATTGAGTACTTATTATATGCCAGGTAACTTCCTAGGAGCTGGCGATATGGCAGTGAAAAAAAACAAAGACTCTGCCCTCAAAGTATGTACATTTATATATATATATATGGATATACAATATATATCAGACATATACAAACGAGTATATAATGTAATTGCATGTGTTGATAAGTGCCATGAGAAAAAATGAAGGAGGAATGGTTTTATTTGATTTAGGGTGATCAGGGATGGCCTATCTGAGGGATAACATTTAAACAGAGACTTGAAGGGAGAGAATAAGCAAGTGCATATCTGGGAAAGAATGTTCGAGGCAAAGCATTCTGGATAGGGTTCGTGTCATAGTGAGGAAGTGCAGGGAGGTGAAGCAGCTGGAACAGTGGGCCCAGGGGAGAGAAACAGGAGAGGAAGTCAGAGAGGAGGCAGGAACCAGAGCTGGGGAGCTGTGAAGGTCATGGAAAGGACACTGTTTTTTACTTTGAGTAAGATAGGGAGGCATTGGAGAATTTTTAGCAAAGGGGTTAAATGATCCGAGTGATGGTTTTCCATGATCAGTCTGGCTGGGGAAGGAAGCAGGAAGCCCTTTAGGAGGCATTCGCTGTTGCTCAGGGTAGAAAGATTGGTGGTTTGGATTAGAGTGATGGAGCTACTAAGTGGCTATTCTGAGCATAATCTTGAAGGAAGAGACATCAACCGCTTGTTCCTGTACACCAGCATTCTGTCTGACATATCCACAGCAGTCACAGCTCCAGGCACTTCTTCAGGGTTCCACTCGTATAGGCTCTTGTGTCTTTTGTATCTTCTTCCTGATCCTATCCAGCTCTAAAGTCTGAACTCCCATCTTGAAACTGCCCAAAACAATACAACTAAGATCCAAGGATGAAGAGAAAACATCTTTGAACAGGCCAAGAGATAGTAAAGGGGTTGGAGAGTAAAGAAACAGTCTGGATAAATTCCTCACAATGTCTAGTAAGTACCAGGCTCATTTGGAAGATGAGCAGAATAGTCCCCGAAACTTTTGTAGATGATTTCTTCTAACCTCAAACTAGTTCAGTCACTGTTTTTGCAATGAGTCTACTTACAAGTGATTAAGAAATATACTTTCCTGCTTTCCAAGATTTAGGTGCTTTTAATAACAAGCAACAACAATAAAAGGTCTGTAACTCCAGTTCAAGGCAAACCCAACTGGAGGCTGAAATAGGGAGACAAAACACTGTGGGCAGCTAGAAATGGAAAGCCAAATTTCTATTACAGCAAATTTTATGAATTCATGTTGGAGTAAGGTCCTGGGACAACTTCTTATCTTCCTCTGTCTGTGGGAACTGCCCTGGGGTTAATCATTCTGGAATTTGATTCTCTCACCCATGAGATAGACTTGGAAGGGAACTGAGAAAAACAGAGCTACACCCCTTTGCTTGTGTCTACATTAAGATGTAGTCATTTATTCTGTGAGGAAACATGAGTTTCACTGAACAGATAATAATATAGCAAGAAAGATTCTCACAGCATCTAGGAATTAAAGATGCTTTGGACTTAGTAGCCTTTCTAACCATCTTTGTTCATTCTATTTCTAATCTAAAAGCTACCCTGAGGGCCACTTTTATGCCTTTGACCTTGTCTGAACCAGCTCATTATTAGCTGTGAAGCAGTTTGTAATGTTAAATACCACATTTTTCTTTTACCCTTCCCAGCAATTTACTAATTTTCTAAGTCAAATTCTCTGTCCTCAAACAACAGTCCTTTGTACACTCTAAGCTCTTGCCTCTACTCTTGCTGCTTGCTTGATTCTCTACAGTTTTCATGCCATTTTTATTGGAATTTTAGAGCGGTTCTTGCTTTTACTCAGGGGGCCCACCCGTTAGGGCATCTAAACACTGCCTTCCATTTCGCATCTCACACAGTCCTCCATCCACCGTGCCCTCCCTCCCTCAGACTCACAGTCCATAAGGATTTAAGACTCTCTGTGCTTAGAGAAGCCAATAATTGACAGTAAATATCTAACGTGCTTAGAACAGTGCCCAGCACTTGGTGACAACCAGAAGACCATTAACAGTTATTATGATGTGATGGTCATCTGTAATGCTGAGATTTTAAGACCAACATCACAAGGGTCATGGAGAAAAACACGTGAGAGAAAGTTCCGAGGTCTTTACCACGGGGCTCGACCCAGATATATTCAACAAATCTTAGCCATATTATGATGTCTGTTTCTATACCATGTTTTGAAAAGTATAGGTTTTTTAAATTATTTCTTTAAAAAGTATACATCCTACTAAGAAAAAGTTTAAAGTACAATTCTGAAATATTATTTGATATGAGAAATTCAATGTTTGCAGTGTACACTAAAAAGCAATGATTTCAGGTTAAGAAGGAATTGATGTCCATAGGAGCCTTCACACCATAAATTTGTTAGCAAATAATTAGACTTTTGCTAATGAATGTCAATTCTTTTTGGATTTCCATGCATGCATTGTTATCTTGACTCTAATTTTGTATCTAAAGTAAATGCATCTTTAAAAAAGCAAAGATGTAGCAGGTAGATTATGCTTCTGGCTCTTTCTAATTTAACAACAGAAATTCAATACTAGACAAACATACGGAGTGATAGCCTTGTAAGAAGGACTTGAAGCAATACTTCCATAGTACTTTAACTAAGATCGAGAAAGTATTATTTGTCTATACAGAAGTGGATGAAGGATAGTAGAAATTATAGAGAGCCTAGGGCATCCTTAAGACCTGGCTTGGTCCTACCTTCGTTATGAGAAAATTAAAAATAAATGGACAATAGTTTCCAACTCTAAAACATATTATATGCAGTACATACTTTTACCTAGTTTACAATTAATATTTATTATCCCGCTGAAACCACAAAGCCAATGTTTAATGTTACAGTTTAAAGTCACACATAGGGAAATGCTTTACAAAATAAGATATTGTTCCTCAATAAAACATATTACAGTATAGGTCCCAAACAACTCAGTTCAAGTGGTTTACCTGAATAACAGAGCTGTTGTGGAGTGCGGGCTGCAACACACAGTAATGCGTTCAATAGCTGATCCAGGTTTGAAATTTGCCAAAGCTGAAGAGACATTTTAAACAAGACCTGTCTTAGTTTTCCAAGATTTTTGGTTTTTCACTTGCATTATATTTACCGAAAAAATACCATCACTTTTGGAAAATTGAGGGTAATAAGCAGCTTATAGTTTACCGCTTATATACAGTATGTAAATCTTCAATATTTTACTCTATTTTGAAAGCATGTTTCAAGATTTAAAAATCTCAGTTATACCTACTTGGGTTTATTACTTGACTTTACTCACAGACTCTAATACAGAAATCAAATATTTGTGCCACTGCTTACATCAAATTGAACACATTTCTGTAACCTGTTTAGTTATCTGTGGTCTATTTACAAAGCATGTGCATGATTTCCTCTGGCTAATACATCATAAAACGTAAGCAGTATTTGTCAATTGCCACATGTATGTCATGCCTGAGTATGTAATGAAACATACCATCCAGAGACAATATACATTAATCTAAAGTCTAGCCTCACAAAGTCACACACAGTCTGATCTTCTATTCTAAATAAACTCTCAGTATGAGCTGAAGTGTTTCTAATATGTTGTGAATTGTTAAAGAAAAGTCCGAGTTGTACTAATAGCCATGGGTTTACTACGGATATAAAATATTGCAAAGCTTAAAAAGTCAGGCCAACTATACACGAAAGTTTGTTTGTGTATAGGAAACAAACAAGTTTGTTTGAAAGGAATGTTTGAAAAGAACACTGATGGCTTAGTAAGTGATGAAACGTGACTCATCTCAAAGTCTGCTATTCCAGTGGGATACTCTTCAAGTTTTGATGTCACCTTAAACATCCTCGATGCTCCTATACCTCGTGTCATTGAACGCTGCCAATCAGAGTGACCACGAGATGCAATTTCCCAAACTTTGAGTATCAAGCTGTGTCCAGTCTTGACAAAAAACTGAGCTCTTTCTTGGAAATTGAAAAATCTTGTAGAATAAAATAGCAACTTGGAAAGACATTTGACAATTGATCACTGGAGATGTTAGCACCCCGATAAAAATGACAATTGTTCATTGGATGTGCCAAAGGAAAATGAAAAAAAATGCCCTGTTTTATTTACAAATCACAGTTTTCCTCACAGTGTTAGACTTTGGGTCACTCTGATGTGGCAGTGCCTTACAGGATGATGGGCTATTACCTGTTTTTTTTTCATTTGACCCATGGCAGTCCACATGGACCAGTTGGTGGAGCTCTGGGACAAGGACCACAGACAGCAAACTTATTGCTAAGTGCTAGTATATTAGGAGGGTGCAATTAGCTGAGTTAACTAATATGTACATTTCAGTCTTATTCTCTTTTAAAACCAACATCTTCCAACAATGTATTCCTTTACTTCCTTCATAAAATCTGCATTGAGAATTAGGGTGTCGTGGCACTAGAAAGACATTTGCCAAACTGAATGGTTTTCTGATCTAAACACCACGGATATTTCCATTTTTTGTCTCACTAATACGTGGGCTCTTATTTCAATATGTTCTCATATACTAATTGACAAGAACGTAACTAAGCGTATAGGCTGTGTTTCATGGCGATAAAACTTCAGAAGTCACTTCTGTAGTTCATGCCAGCAGGGGGGCTATTAGGAAGACTGCTTTCTCAGTGGATTAATCAATTAAGTTGATCTACCTATTTGACAATCTAAAACTACAGGGTGTTGGTAAATGAGAAAAATAACAGAGGAAACATACAAGCTCCTGTTCTGTATGACTAAATCATAGATCTCCTTGACCTTGCACTTGGTTCTACTATAGTTTTGGATGATCATTCCTGTACTCATGGTTATTCATTTGTTTTGTAGCTTTGAAATGTTAAAAAATATAAGGTATTTTTATGACCTCAAGTTTAATTATAAATAGGTTAGTAATATTCACCAATCATGCCAATGGGATTTCACACTTAGCCATAAAGTGTTAGCAAAATTTCGTCATTATTAAATTCAATCTTATTTCACAAACAGTGAACACTAAGTCATAGCAAAAGTCCTGGACTTCTTTGAATCCGGCTGCCATCCTTACCTTAACCATTACAATGACCTTGTTAATAAGAAAGGAGTCAATGGGAGAAAGGTCAGAACCAGAGATTGAACTGGTCAATCCTGTGTCCAAAGGTACTTTGCCTTGTGGCTGTGACCAGGCTGTGAAATCACAATCAGAGGGAAACAGATGATCAGAAGTGTCCCTGCCTGTCCCAATTCCTTTTATCACTCTATGAGATTCATTACTAGCAGTAAAAACTCACACTCTATCAATGGAGACCCCAAATTTATAGAAAGAGTTATGACTATTAATATTTGAATCATTTAAATGCAATTTGTTTACTGCCGTCTATAGAATCCTACAGACATTGGAGACTATATGATATTAATTCTAAGGAGTGTTTCTAAAGCAGCAAAAGACAATATTTGGTTTTATTATCATTGATATCACTCAGAGGTTGTGTGTACCCACCTTTCATATACATCAACATCTCCTTGTCCAAGTTTATCAGTGAAGTGAATGGACCTGATTCTTAACTGTATCTTAGCTTCTATGGGAAGCTTCCAGGCTATGTACATACCCAAGTTTAAAACTTGGACCTTAGTTTCTAAAATAAGTAGTTTTCTTATCTGTGACTTGGGAAAATTAATATTAATAGGACACAACAGACCTATTAATGTAATTACAAGTAATGAACACTACTAGTCATGAAAGATTAAATTTAACTTTTCCTTAGAAAGGAAAATGGTATTATCAGAATAAGGATACATGAGGAATATATACAGATACACCTGTTTCACGCAGAAAGCTTTCGATAAAAAAATACAAAAGCAACCAGTGCTGTATATTATGTAAACTCACAAAGTGTACTTTATACACAAACATGAAGCATAAATTAAAAAGTAGGACAACAGCAAAACATTTTAAATATAGAATTTGCACATAGTTTTGTTAAATAAGAATAAATAATTTTATCACACAAATTCACATACCAGTTGCAAAAACAATAAATTACTTTTTTTTCAGTGCTGCAACTTTTTTTGTTTGTGATTAACCCCTTAATTCTTAGTTTAATGGGATAAAACTGTTTCCACAGGAAGGCAAAGGAAGTTGAATTTGTTGAATAAATAAATTAAAACAATATCCTTAAACCTCTAAATAACAAGGTGGGGTTCAATTTGACCTTTTCTGTTCTGGAAGAAATCAATGTTAATTTCTTCCGGGCTCCCTTTATATTTAATGAAAATTAATCTGGAGTGTTTAGTTTTGTGAGTGAGATTAGATTCTTACTAACCTGAGCATTTTCAGACAAACTCTTTTTTTTTTTTTTTTGAGAAAGTGGTCCCTAGCATCATAAATCCTAGACTCTTTATTCAAGATGCAGCTATGGAAAGGTGAATGGTATAGTCCAAAATCAAAGTGGACTGAATTAGATTTTGTTAAAGAGGGTTCTCCCTTTGCCTATCATTTTCTATATCTACTGAACACTCCATTTTTCTGAATTTCAGCTTCCAGTCTATATCATTTTTCTCAGGAGTTTTGACATACATTCCTCAGTCAATCTATTGATCCTAATACACAAAACCTAAAGAAAACTCCTTAAAAGCATGGAATAGTGGTTTCTTTGTTCTATGCTCTCTAGGATTCTTTCAAAGAGAAGTGTAACACTTCATAATATGGGGAAAAAAGGCATCATGATAAACCATGTTAAAAAAATTATGAATGAATACAGTATAGAGAAGCAGAGTAGCAGACAATCACGTTTGATCTTTGATTATTTTTAATATTGCTGAGAATATAACCACAAAAGATCAAAATAAATTTTGGCATAGTTCAGCTACTTGATTAAAATTATTTTAAAAATTGGAAAAAGTAATGTTGGGCCTCACTATTCATTCTCTCTGCATAGTCAAATGGTTGGTGTGATTTAAAAGCTTTTCTGACTGATGTGGATATCTTTGTTCCCTGCCCCTGATATCTGGCGACTTCCATCAACTGTAGGTTACTAGTCCTATACAGGCTTCATTTCTCTAAATGATAAGTTATTAAGAAAAATTATTATGTCAAAAGTAAAGTCAGTCTACGAAAATCCAAAGGATGATTATCAGTTTTGTAAAACAATTATTTGTCTTACCAAATAATTTCTTAAGAAACTACTTAAAACAGTGAGACATCCCTTCTCCTGTCCCACTGAAATGAAAGTGATATAGCAACATCAATGACATAATTCTTTTATATTAAAAATATCTTATAATAAAAATAAACTCTCATGAGCTTAAGGGAACTCAAACAACGGTCCCCTAACATCCTTATATGCAACTCTTTAACAATAGGCACATTTGGTGTGATTATTAAAAAATTTTATAAAAACAATTGGCTTTGTGATATTTCACAAAGAAAAAGAAATCTCAATGAAATGAAACACCTTAGATTTTCTGAGTTATGGGGTGAAGGAATGCAGTTTACTGTCTAAAAAGAGATTTTTATGCATATGACTGTATAAATTTTCCATGTCTAACTATCCAAACTTACAACCTACCTAGACAGGCTATGGAAATAAAAGCAATGAACTTCTCGAAAATCATCACATTTCATCATTCAAACACTTACTGGTACGACCAAATGAGGTCCAATTGGGGAAAATCTTAGGTACAGTGTTAGTGTACTCGAATTTAAAAACCAAAAAAGCAATGCAGGAGTTATTGCCTCTAGGGTGTGGAAACAGTCTTATTAATATTAACCACTTTCTTTTGCACTAGCCACATTAATGATAACCATGTCTAGATGTGGCGAGCTACCAAGTGATCTGTAATATTCCTATTAAACTAAGTCAGAGAGAAGAACAAAACATTGTAGGTCTTACACAACCCTTGAACAAAACAAACAAGCAAAACACAACACATTTTAAAGGCTTGCTGGTAAGAGGTATACCAGTGTTGAAGGGGATAGAAAACTCTTCACTGTGTGTTTTGTCTGTATATGACACATTGTGAGATATCAGAGGGGAGCCATAGAAAGGAAAAGCAGTTGTGAAAATATAACCTGAAAATATGGTGAAGTATGGGTTTGTTTTTTTTTTTGCCTTTTAATTTCTAACAGGAGGAAACTAATTTTTAGACTCTTGAAAACTGATAACATACACACACGCAGACACTACTCCTACATCCTAATTAGGCGTTAATTTGGCTAGCTCCCTGAAAAAATACAGGCAGTCAAAGGTTTAAGTAAGTGGACCCGTGTATGTATTTCAATGGTGAGACACTGAGATCATTTTTCTTTTCAGAATTTCTCAGAAGATGCTTGCTGTCAAAATGGTTTTTTGACTAAAATTTTATCTCCTGTAGTCTGAAAGTATTCTAAATCTTATTAAAACAGCAGCAAGTTCTTAATTTCCAGTAAAACATCCACAGCTCTTTCTGGAAACTGGAAGAAGTTGAAATAGCTGCAGACCTACTTTGGTCAAACACTTCTTTATAGAAATATATATATACATATATTTTTTTTTAATAGAACCAAGTGATATAAAGTGACATATCAAGGGAAAATGTATTTACAAACAGTAAAAATAAGCTACTGTGCATCACGGGTGAAAATGATTACAATGTCTTTGAAGACATTCTCTAAGAGGTAGGTGACAAGGGGGAGACTGCTGTTCTGCCATCTTCAAATGTGCCCTGATTCTACATTCATCAGTGTTTTTTTTTCATTCTTGTAGGCCCAGGTGATGTTCAATAACTCCCAAGTTTTCTATATGCAAAGGTCACCACTGTCACATGAAACAGTGCACATCTTCATTTGGTCACGGAGAGCAGATTCTGCCCATAATTGGACTCCTGTTGACAATGATGCCGAAGCGTGACTTTCTGTGCTTTGTGACCTCTTATTCACCACGACTGATCACTACCATTCATCATGACTGGCCAGCGATGAATCATCCAGTTATCTCTGTGTAAGATCATAACCACAGGCTAACACTTCTTCAGCAAACATTGCTTAAACGCAGAAGGCCTCTGAGAGAGAAGACATCCCTTGGCTAACTTCCGGTTTCCATCCTGGCACTGCACCGTCCTGGTGTGCCAGCCTGTGTCACAGGTCCTAGAGCAGGCGAGCCACGGGCCCGTCACCCACTGCAGTTGTGGAGTTGTCGATCCCACTTTATTGCTGCCATGGCTAGTGACGGAGTTTCCTTTTTGAGTGGGCTTCTTGGGAACGAAAAAACTGTAACGGACATCTAATGCTTTCGTTGGGTCTGTTGCAAGAATCTGCACTATTAGAATTTCCTTCGTGGCCGAGTAGCCCATTCCGTGCAGGAAATCATCCCTGTGGCTCCATCCGCTGTAGTTCATGACTGTTCCGTTGATGTCAATGATGGTTTCCGAAGTGGAGATCATGTACTTTCCATTGATAAGGTACTCACCATTTTTCTTCTTAAGGGCTAAGTAGGCAGTGAACCGAGTCTGGTCTTTGGTTTTGAATTGTCGGACTTTTATGTGGGTTGCCCCTTCTGGGATCCTCACAACATCAGTGTAACCCTTACTGGAAACAGGAACATCCACAGGGGAGAGAGGGGGAGAGAGAGAGAAGGAAAAATAAGTAAACACTTAACAAATGGATAAAGAAATAGACGTCCTCTAAAACTCTTACCTTATCTTAACACAAAGTTTTAATGTATTTAAGAGTTTAGTTTGAAATTGACTTCAAAAATTAATTTTCTTAAAATAAAATTATGGTTAGACTATCATATGGTATCATTTTTATTACTATGTTCAAAATTACGATGATGTCAGCAACCTGTTTTAAAAATTTACACTAACTTTACTTAAAGATTTATAAAACCATTATACACCTTTAGCAAGTCCTTTCATCTTTACAAAGCTACTTATGTTGTTTTCTGGCATAAAATAGGACAGACACAAACACAAATGAACAAAAATCTGCCCTCCATCTCATACAAATCTTTAATGTTTCTCAAAGTAGTTTGCACATTAGGATCATGTGGAAATCTTTTGAAAATTTAAATGCTGAGACCCCAGACCAATGAAATCCCCATCTTTCAGAATGGGGACAGGCAGCAGTACTTCTGGAGCTCTCATGCTGTTCCAAATACACAGACTAGTTGGCGAACCACAGATTTAATTGTTTGTTGATCTGGAGACAGACAGGAAGCTCTGCTTCCATTTCTACTAGAACTCTGGATTCCCCGGGCAGGACGCAAAATGCAGCATCAAACTCTCTAACTGGGTAACTATAGCTTACTAGTATCATCAAAAGAAAAAAAATGAATATTTAATGTCTTAGCAAATTTCCCTGAATGCATAGTGTCTGTGAAGCATGATTGATAGATTGAGAGAGGCTTAAGGTTGGGTGACAAGTAAGATAGCTCTCTAATGATCCATCATCTGTTCAGGAAAATAGGCACAAGGCATAAATATCTCTAATATCCATAGCTTGCGGAAAATGCTAGGACACAAATGCTAATTAAGCACCAAGGGACTAGACCAGTGAGAAGGAGTCAACTTTTGTGAAAATCTTTGCCTCTACAAGTAATTTCACAATGGGGTCCCCATATGTTTTACTTTCCTGGTCGTTTGAATTGAAATAAATTGCCTGTGCAATTTGAAGGATGTGTGTGAAATCTAATTATCTACTCTCAAATTCCTACTCAAGTTTAGAGGTTAGGGGGCAACTGATTCATATACTGAAAATCCATGTGTGTTTCCCCCACTGAAACATTTCCTCTGAATCAGAGAGGAAGCTCATCCCCAGGGAAGGCCCCTGTCTGTTGGGCATCTGATCGACAGTGACTACGAGACACGTGTCAGAGCTTCCTACTGTGCTGAAGACAGAAGATACAATGCTGATGATGTTGCTGATCCCTTCAACTTGATTCATTACTTTTATTCTTGTAATACACTTTGGATTAGATTCTGGTACGGGACTTTATTTGAAGGATCTAATATCAAGAGATGATGCGCAAACCTGCAGCTGCTTCAAGTAAAGCCAGGAGGAACATTGGAGAAAATCTCCCAGCTTACATCAAAAGCATATATAGTGGGGATAAATTTGAACAAGCTCACACCAGAACTAATGAGTGGCTGTGCTAGGCTTGAAAGTCAGGCCTCTTGACTCCCAATTTGTGCCTCTTTCACCATATTCCTGTGCCTGTAACCCTTACCTCTGCTAATTATTCTTTATAACAGTTAAATGAGAATAAGTTCTGGTTATATTCAGAGTTTAAATGATACCAAGCAGGTGTAAAGATAACAAAGAATGCATGGTAAGGAAATTGGACAGGAGAGCATCTTTTTTTTTAATCCTACTTCTTAAAGCCAGTCTCATCTTCACGAGAATCAGTAGGGACTGTCAGCATTGCAGCCGGTCTTCAAACTGAGTTTCACAAGGGCAGGGAAGTATGCAGATGGGCCTTGGTTTCTTTTTTTTTTTTTTTTTGTGAGGAAAATTGGTCCTGCACTGTTGCAAATCTTCCTCTTTTTGCCTGAGGAAGATTGTCACTGAGCTAACATCTGTGCCAATCTTCCTCTATTTTATGTGGGATGCTGCCACAGTATGGTTTGATGAGTGGTGCCAGGTCCACATCCAGGATCCGAACCTGAGAACCCTGGGCCACCTAAGCAGAGCACGTGAACTCAACCACTATGCCACCAGGCAGGCCCCTGACCTTGATTTTTCGGTGCCTTAGTAAGATCTGATTCTCTTTGCACTCCCTCATTTTCTTTACACCCCACTTGGTATCATTTAAGCTCTGGACATTAACCAGCTTCCCTGGCTGCCATGAATGAATGGCAGGTCATTTTATATACCTATCCTGAAGTACAGCTGGCAGGACAAGGGACTCTTCTTCTGTTCAGGGCCATATCCACAGTACTGAGAGCAGTGCCTCCCTTGGAGGAATACATTCAGTCATACATGTTAGGCATGCTGTCACAGAAGTGACATTCTTGTGGAGGCCAGTGAGACTATGGAAGTGACATTCTAGTGGGGGTCTCACTGCCCCCCACCACTCCCTGCAAACAAAATCTGTGACGATATCCATTGATAGCAGCTGTGAAGAAACACAGAGCAGGGTAAGAAGATAGAGAATAATGATGGGGATAGTGGAGAGAGCCTCCTACTCATTTAGTAGCCATCCCCTGGGGAGGTGACATGGGACAGAGATCAAAAGGAATTCTAGAGGAAGCATTACTTATTAATTGGGGAAAAGTGCTGCAGGCAGAGGAAATAGTGTACACGCACCTGTTTGCCATGTTTGAGGAGCCTTGGGAAATCCAGTGTGGTTAGAGCTGAGCAAAAGAAGGGGACAGCATAGAAGGGACACAGAGCAGGGGAGGGGCCACATCTTTTAGAACCTCATAGGTTACAAAACAGTCTTGGACATTGACTCTAGGAGAGATGGAAGCCATTGGAAGGTGTTGAGCTAAGGCATGCTGAGATTAGACTCAGGTAATAAAGTGATGGCTCTCCCTGCTTTGTGAAGAAGAGACTGTGGGGAGAGAGGGGCTGGGAGCCCAGCAGGAAGACAGCTGGATTGGTCCAGGCAAGCGACGATCGTCATTGGATTGGGGCGGTGGTGCTCATGGTGGTGAGGGACAACCATATTCTGGACACATGTTGGAAGTAGGGCTGACAGGATTTGCTGATGGATGGATGCGGGGTGTGAGAGCAAATGAGGAGTGAAAGGTGACTCCAAAGTTTTGAGTGTAAGCAGTGGAAGGATTGAGTTGCCCCTTACTGACATGAATGAAAATTGAGGGAGGAGTGAATTAAGATCAGGGTCATATCTGTGAAGAGGTTTGAACTTGAGGAAGTATTTTGACGTGCATTATCTCATTTGACCATCGCAGCAATATCAATTTGCAAGATAATTACTACTATTTCCATTCTACTCTCAACAATTCTGATACGAAAGAAATTAAGTGACTCTTCAAAGATCCCATGGTTAGTGAATTACTGAACCAGAACTGGAGTGCAAATATTCCAGCTACAAGATCAATGTGCTTTTTTATAAATCACATTAGGCCAAGCTAATTTATTTGGGATACTTAAACAGGTCACCTGTACCACGTAATATAATCTTGGTCAAATCAACTTGTAAGTGGTTATGTTGCACACCACTTGCTGCTGTCATGAATTTCTTCATCTTTCCCCGTGACATCAAATATGCAGATATTAGTTGTCAATACAAAAAACTTAAAATGCTAAATTTAACATTATAAAATGTGGTTTATAAATGTATGCAGGAAGAATATATAGCATATAGTACATAAGATTTCTTTTTAAATAATGTTATTTTTCATTTGGTTCCTGAATTTCTTTCCCTTCCTTCCTTTTTCTTTTCCCCTTTTTTATAAATGGCCTGGCCATCGTATGATGTAAGTTGTAGGCTCTATGCTAATATTCACCAGCCATGTAAAATTGGGTAAGTCTTAAACTTTCAGAGTCCTAGTTTCTTCATCTGTAAAACAAAAAGTTAGGCTTGATAATTTCTAAGGTGTCTTGCACCTTTGAAATATATAAAAATTTAGGATATAATTAGACTTGCAGGCTCTTTGACCTAGATGGCCCAACACAATTAGATAAATAATTATATCACTAGCAAGTAAGATTAGTAATCCATATTTTAATTCAGAATAAATTCTCCAGCTACGCAATTTCTTTTTTTTTTTAAAGATTTTATTTTTTCCTTTTTCTCCCCAAAGCCCCCCAGTACATAGTTGTATATTATTTGTTGTGTGTCCTTCTAGTTGTGGCATGTGGGACGCTGCCTCAGCGTGGTTTGATGAGCAGTGCCATGTCCGCGCCCAGGATTCGAACCAACGAAACACTGGGCCGCCTGCAGCGGAGCGCGCGAACTTAACCACTCGGCCACGGGGCCAGCCCCCCAGCTACGCAATTTCTTATCATTTCAGAGAATTTCCAGTTTTTTACATTAACATGGCATGTAATTGTTTTAATAAATCCTTATTGTTAACTTAGTTTGCATGTTACTCTCCAGTTAAAGACAACACAGCAGATCCATCAAGAATACGGGTGCCCTTGGCCAATACCACTAGGCATATGAGGGATCTGGCGAAAAAGAAAAACAATCCTGCGTTCCAGCAGATTCTTTAGCTGACTCAGCCATCCTAGCTGATAGCATAATATTTTATGCCAGAAATTAGTACTTCATAAACTCACATATTTGAAGTAAGAGTATAATCAATGACCACGAGAGGAAGTAGGAAACGGACATTACTCTTTATAGAGTAGATATAAACCAGGATAGTTTACTATAAAATGAGGTGGTTGTCTATGCCACTGCAATTAACTTACATTTTGCAATGACAAATGTTTTCTCAAGAAAAATACAATCTAACGAGAATTTGGTAGTAAAAAAAGTATTTAAGATGGAAACCAGCCATCTCTCCTATCTGCAAGATATCACTGAAGTGGAATGTCATTGACTTTTTCTTCTCAGTTCTCCTAGTCTGCAAGACCTTAACCCCATGGCCATTGCAGTTTATCTGCTTCCAGAGGTTCCAGGAATTTCCATACTTCCCTTCTCATCTTGACAATGTGTTATTAGGGCCATGTTAGACCTCTTCCCACAGAGAGATTATGATGTAACACAAGTCCCCCTTTATCTTTTTTTTTTTTTTTGCTGAGGAAGATTAGCTCTGAGCTAATATCTATGCCAATCTTCCTCTACTTCTTTATATATGGGTTGCTGCAGCAGGGACAGCCCCTCCATTTATCAATTTTGCAAGAGTCTAAAGCTTTGTTCAATTCATATAAAGGTAAGCATTTTATCATCACATTACCTTTTTTTATTGAAGGTTCCAACAACCTTTGTACAACTGGAGTTGTCTCCTCCACAAACTCCGCACTTGTCATACTGCAGCTTTGAGCCAATGATGCCGTCACAGCCGGTGCGCACGCACTTCCCCCGGACGCAGACGGAATTACTGTATGGCCTACATTCGGTCCCATCAGTCACCTGAAATGATGAGAAGCACATTAGCAGTGGGAAGTACTTGTGCCTCATTACTTGGTTTCTTTGGTAAAATAGCAAGTTCTAACTGGTGAGTTTTCAGTTTGACTGGAACAGATAGCACACTGAAAAATAAACAACCAACCAAAAATCCCCAGTTTCCAGGAATATCTCACTGAAAAATCCTTGACATATTTGCAGAAAGAAGAGCTGGGGTAAATCTAGGTTATGCACTTTCTCTCTTGAGCTTACTTCTGAATGACTTAAGAGATCCAAGCCACTCCTTCTTATTTCTGTATGCATAACACATTCCCATGGTATAGCTTGCCTTTTTACATCGATAGAAAGAATCTTTTCAATTAGTGTGTGGGACTGTCTCTCACTTGTGTGGAGAGCAGAATACAAGCAGACTCAATAATGTGGAGATGCTTCTTTGTTGAAAATTGTTATTATAGTAATAAATTTGAAAATCTAACCCTGACATTCAAAATTTGCAATGGTTGGAAAGCATTCCCTATTGTGTCGAAATGTCAGACACGGAGATAGAGACAAATTAGTGTAGGAAAAGGAGTCTGGGGAAGCCAGAGAAAAGGACTTACTGGAAGAGACTGAATATATTTGAATAAAAGAATTAGTATACATTTAAAAGACTAGTTGTAAAATAGTATGTATGTGGACATTTGGTGGTTTGTACATGTGAGTATATATAAATAACATATATATATATATAAATAAGCATACATATTTTCTATTTGTATATATACAAACTCCTTTCTTTTTTTTTCTTGGTGAGGAAGATTGGTCCTTAGCTACCATCTGTTGCCAATCTTCCTTCTTTTCTCTCCCCAAAGCCCCAGTACATAGTTGTATATCCTAGTTGTAAGTCATTCTAGTTCTTCTATGTGGGATGCCACCACAGCCCGTCTCGATGAGTAGTGTGTACGTCCACGCCTGGGATCTGAACCAGCAAACCCTGGGCCACCAAAGTGGAGCATGTGAACTTAACCACTTAGCCAAGGGGCTGGCGCCTACAAAACCCTTTTTATATATGGGTGTGTAAACTGAAGCAGGGTACACTTCAACAGGTTGACAGCTCTCCAGGTGGTTATATTTCCAGGGAATATTTTTGTTTTCATTCCTCCATAATATTTTTAACAAGAAAATATATTATTTTTCAATAAAAAGATAAAATATGTTTAAATTACATTAGGTTATTTTTCAATAGTATGTCATAAATATCTGAAGGCCATTTCAGAGGTGGTTTAAAATGCACCCTGTGTGTATAAATTAGAGAAACAGTATTTTAAATTGCTGCATAACATTGATTTTGAGAAATAAAAATGCAACAATTCAGGAAATGCTCTTCTTTGAAAAATAAGGGATAACTTCATACGCATATATTATAATGTATATAACTAGAGGGACATTAATGCATATTAAGGTGCAAGATATTTAAAAGTCTAGGCCAGAGATGATGATCTTGAAATCTTGAAATCGAAAGTTTTCTTGCATATAATCCTTTTTACAAATGTGCCTAGAATGTGCTGTTTTCATGGCTATTTTGAAGTTAAGGCCATACCTCACCTTCCTTGACAGACAGTTACATTTCTCAAAAATAGCTTTTAGAACATTTATTTGTTCTGTTCACAAAATAATTTTTATTCACTGTATAAAGATTGAAAACGTAGAGATTATGGAGGGTGAAAATAAAACCCTCCAAAATCTAGCCCCCCGCAAAATAATGCCTGTTTACACTGGGTATCTGCAGCCTTCATTCTACCAAATAATTTCCACCAAGGCGACTTTCTGGACGGTCGGTGCGCAGTTACCTTTGGAGAAAACACCACGTAGTAGCCGGTGCCCTTTGCCCTGCAGGTCAGCTTGCACACGTCCCCCGGCAGGACGCCTGCATATTTGGGAACCCATTCCACAAATGTTTTGACTCCTTTTGCATCAGACTGATAGCCATTTTTGGCCTCACACTGCTCATGGCGAAAAGATTTACCTAAAAAACAAACATGTCACATTAGTACGTCATCTGTTCTGAAACTTAGATATATTCTCATGCATTTAAATAATTAATTTTAAGAAGATGCTAACTTTTTTTTTGCAGAGCCTCTTTACATACCAGTGTTGAAAGATTTTATTTATACACAGAGTTGAAGATAGCAATTATTTTCTTCCTGCTGCCTGAATACTCAGTTGTTTATAATAATAATTTAAAAATTACTCCTGTTTGTCTTTGATTTGCACACTAGTGAAACCATGAAGTACAAGATTAATAGGCTATTTCTTCATCTTCCCCTATTTATTACTGCTAGAATACAAATTACACATGGCACATGGTGGTTGCTGACACTTGGGAGCAGCGTACCATTAGCCGGACAGGGTGTGACACTGCAGGATCGGTAGATGGCCCTCTTTCCTGTGCAGTAGCGGCCATTGTTTCTGGGAGCAGGATTATTGCAGTGGCGATAGGCAAATTGAACTCCTCCCCCACATGAGCGAGAACACTGGCCCCAGGACCCCCAGGACCCCCAGTTGCCATGGCTTGATGTCTGAAATAGAAAAGAGAAGATATATTAACTCAGAAGGGAGGAAACGTTCAAAATGCACGTTTGGAAATCACTCACATTCAATGACAGTGGAGACTTCATCACAGATAGAGTTAAATTTTCACTGAATTGAACATGGTCATAGGTATGGAATGTTCTGGAATTACAATGCGTTTCCAGTTCTAAGAAAGTCATCTTTTCTGGCATCCCTGGCACTTGAGGAAGTGAATGCTTCACCCTAAGTACTGAGCCTACGGCAAGAAGTACCTCATGGCTTCTCTGGACCTTCTGATATTATACATTTCTGTTAATAACCATTGAACCACGGTTAACTTTTTCTCACTCAGACGTTGGATCTTTAATGAAATGTATGATGCTAAAGGTTTTGCATGATGTCAGGCATTAGATTGTGTTTACATCTTTTCTCCCTCTTTAGCACTAAAGTTCTTGAGTCCCTTTATTGAAATCACACATCTTGTCTGTGATGCGCGTCTGCCACATGCATAACGCATTTGACTTGGGCTCAGCTGATTTCCTGATTAGACCAGAGTGTTACCCTGTAGAGAAAAAATGTGACAGACACCAAGTGCACCCACACCACCGGCACATAAGCCACAGGGAATAAAGAGCCCTGTTCTGACGCCCTAGGTCGATTACTCTGGAAACACTGCAGGCAGCAGGAAGGGAGAGACTCCAAATGGAAGAATATTATTAACTCCTTTGCCAAGGTGATGAGGGGAGAGCTTCCTCTGGCTGCCTGTGTTGGGTTATCTGAGAATGCATGGTTGGGTGACAGCCTTAAAAGACAAAGGCAGCGTGCATAAGGCAAGGCCCTTCCAGGGACTTTGAAAACCTTATGAGAGTCAACAAATGCTTTGCTTGGGCCTTGAAAACGATGGTGGCTGTTGCTGACCTGAACATGAACTGTGCACAGGGGGCTATGGGGAGAGTGGAGGGGTTTCCCTGGAGCAGCCCCAGGTTTTTTTTTAGATTAACATTTTTTTTTAAGTATACATTTTGGTGAGGAAGATTGGCCCTGAGCTAACATATGTTGCCAATCTTCTTTTTTTTTCCTCCCCAAAGTCCCAGCACATAGTTGTATATTCTAGTTGTAGGTCGTTCTAGTTTTGTCTATGTGGGATGCCGCCATAGCTTGGCTTGATGAGTGGTATGTAGGTCCTCAACCAGGATCCAAACTGGGGAATCCTGGGCTCCCAAAGTGGAGCATGCAAACTTAACCACTCAGTCATAGGGCCAGTCCCAATCCACGTTTCACCTCACTCCTCAAGTTAGATTAACTTGTCATGAGGGGAGGAACATGACCATTTTGGAGTCCAGCAAATATGTATGCTGATCATGTGTCAGCTCTATTGCTATTTCCTTACTGAATTTAAAGAAACGTGTTCTGATGACTCTACTCAGAGAAGTTTGAAAGTAAACTTCCAAAAATTGATTCTGGGGCCCTACTTGAGGTCTCAAGTAGACAGAGTCTGGGCTATATACTTCTCTGTTACTGGACACAACCTGGGAGGAGTACCTCCGATCTGCATTTTCTCCAGTGTGTGATTACTGAGAATGGCTACTGGGGGTGAAAAAGGAAGCTATAAGTAGATCTCCCAAGGAAAGATATTTTAACTAGGAAAGAAAGCTTTCTGGCAACAGGACCCACACATGTCACAGGAATGTCTTTCGGATCTTGGGTCTCCAGGCATTGCGTGACAAGAAAATCACTTACTGAATAATATTTTTTCTTGGTTTTGTCCACACACTTGCCCTGCAGGCAAATCCTCCCTTTGCCACATGGTGTCCCTTCCACAGCTGGCAGCTTCTTGGTCAGACACACCATCTGGCCCTGGCGCACCACGGCGCACCACAGGCGCGCACAGACGTCCATGCCGGGACACACTGAGTACTCGGGCCCGAACGTCAGGTTGCACTGCTGGGTGGCGTCATAGGTCTGACCTGGGAGTTCTTCAGGGCCCAGGATCTGCTTTCGTGGAAGGTCTAGCAAACAGTTACCTGAAAGAATAACCGAGATTGACCACTGTTCTGTGTGTGGGTTTCAAGCCACTAAAATCACAGATCTAAAAATGAAATGCTCCAGCGGATGTTGAAGCCCGAGGCATCCACAAATCTGCGGTGTGATGGGGACCAGGCTGGGTGGTGTCTCCTTGCGCTCACCAACACTCTCCAGGATTTTCAGTGAGTAATGTGTTCTGGGTATCTAGAATGATGGCAGTGGTATGGGTAAATAAAATTATTTTGTAATAGTGAAAATAGCCATTGTGCTGAGGGATAAAAGGAAATTGGGATGGATTTAGAGGAAATAAGATAATGGACATAATAACAACAATAGCAATAATAATAAGAAATAAGCATTTATGACTTTGGGAAAAGTTTGACCTTGGCACTCTGTGTATACCCCATTCTCCACTTCCAACTTATCTCTTCCTCACGTGCTTATTTCTGTCCCTTTCCACTAATTCCATAACTAAACAAGGTGCTACTTCATTCATTCTTGTACTCACGCAATAAGCATTTGATTTGCACCTACAGAGTTCTAGCAAACATACTGGAAACTGGGAAAACACAACAATGACCCAGATCCACCTCTCAAGGTCTCCCAATAAAGCGAAGGAATAGACTAAATAAAGTATTTTTCCCAGACTGATAAGAATTTTAATAAAGAACTTTCAAGAGTCACAGAATAAAGGGGCAGTGGGAGAAGAAAAGAAACAATAATTTGATAATTGGGACTAGCCTTATCTTTTTACTCTTCTCTCTTTTCTCCCATTTGTGTGTGTTATTCAATGTCTCTGGTGTTTGTTGGGTGCATGGAGTGTGTCTGCCACAAACAAGTTGGTGCTCTCATTCCCTAGTAATATGGGGAGTAAAAAGAGACGACGTGGGAGACCAGTAGAAGCTGGCACACACAAAGAGAATGCAAATTCAGAAGCTGAAACAGCCCTCACATCCTCGCAAAAAGCTACCCTAAGAATCCTTGCCCAGTGAGTTAACGCCATTAATTTTCTCCCTTTATCTGGTAGCATGCATACTGCCCACCACTTTCTGTATTTTTTTCTTTTCTTGATTTAAGGATTTACTCATTGGTTATTAGTAGTACAAAAAATAACAAATATTTGTTACATACTTGCACTATTCTCAGTTTCTTAAATGTATTCACTCATTTAATCCTCACAAGAACTCTAGGAAGCAGATTCCATTATTTTACTGATAGGGAAACTGAGGAACATTAAGATCACTTACCCAAGGTCACATAGCTATTAGGGTTTTATACTCAGAGCCTGCCCTGCTCATCACATACGATGTTGCCTCTGCTTAGTATGTAGACAGATTTCTTGCTTTATTGCAGAAAGGCAGGCGTGTGTAAGGGTCCTTTAAATGGTGGATATCATGCGTCGGTCCAAAGTCTAATCCTGGCAAAACACTAAATGGCTGAGTGGTCTTGGCCTAGTTAGTTAACCTCTCTCTAATTTATTTTCAAGACCTGTGAAATGTTTCTCTTCTCACTGTGACACTGTTAGGGTAAAACTGGCCAGCAGAGATATAAAGGGCGACCAGAAAAATATGAAACAATGATAGCTGGTACTATGGCGAACATATTTAACAATGTTTTAGATGTATTTGAGTTATCATTTATTTATTTATTTTTTGGTGAGGAAGATTGGCCCTGAGCTAACATCTGTTGCCAGTCTTCTTCTTTTTGCTTGCGGAAGATTGCCGCTGAGCTAACATCTGTGCCAACCTTCCTCCAGTTTGTATGTGGGATCCTGCCACAGCATGGCCTGATGAGCAGAGTGTAGGTCTGTGCCTGGGATCTGAACCCCGAAACCTTGGCCACTGAAGCAAAGGGTGCAAACTTAATCACTACACCACTGGGCCGGTCCCTTGACTTATTCTTTTTATTCAACAAAAGAAAATCATACTTCAATCCTACTTTCCACTGAGAAATGGAATATCCAGCACATTTTTAGTACACTGCAAATGTTTTTACAAAGACATTCAAGTTTCTTCAAAGTGAATACCTTAGAATTTGTCAATCTGTAATGGAGGCATTATATGAAAATGAATAAAGAGTGAAGTTGCTACTTAACTTCTGAGCCAGAACATTTGAAGAGGTAAAGCTTCTTAAGGCAAGCCAGAAAAAGCATTAAAAATAAATATCCAGACAAAGAGAACTTTGGGAAAAACATCAAATGAAAAGGAAAACATCAACATCAAGTCAATAGGAAAGAATGATAGTAAAACGTCATTGAGCTTTGTTTAGAAGACAGAGGAAGAATAGTTATTTCAGAACTTCATGAAAAGGGTTATTGCTACATCAAAAAAGAGCACTGTGTAAACCAGGGAAGGCTTAGCACATTGCTGATGCTAGAGAACCGTCAACAAATCTCTGAGACAGCAAGAATGCTCTCCAATTCGTCAAAAGTGCAATTTTAAGAAACTTTTTAATTTTACTAAAAAGCACAGCTCATAAGACTGGGTAATTAAATATTAGCTGAGAAGTCTTTAACAAGTGTGGGTGCATGTGGCATGGATGCACCTCATTTATCTTGAGCCAAAATAACTGACCATCTCTCCATGGGTCAGTGACATCCTTTCTATCTCGTTAGCAGATGAGGAGCGAAAAGAAATGTATAATGCAAACAATTTGAAATCAGCATACAAGGAGACTTCAGTGGAGCATCTCTTTACAAAGCTTAATGCCAAAGCGTAAGTTTTAAAAATGAATAAACACTTGCTTTGCTATTAAAAATATGGTATCTCAGCTCTTTGATTTTCCCTTAGAGGTCATCTGGAGATGACCTTTTCTTGCTTAAAATAAAATGATTTATTTCAGAATTGCTATTAATTGCTCACTCCAATGTTCTCAGTAGCAGGATTTGTTGCTGCATTAGTTTCTGTTTACCCTGAAATATACAGTCTATCGATTTCATCTATATGTTGAATTATGTTCTTTTGCAATAAATAGGTACAGACATCTCTACCAAATGGCAGATTTGTGCCAGGGAACATCAAGAAAAGAACCAATCTAGAGCCTGATTCTGAATCTCATGGCATAAAATATTTAAAATCTAATAGTGGATTAGGTACACATTTTCCATTTAAAAAAATGTGTACCATTTGGGGGAGGGATGAAAGAGGAAATGGATCAATCTTTTAATACCATTTATATTGATGTTGAAAAGCATCTAATGTACTGATGACTTCTCTTAATCTGTTTTACTTTATTCTCAACCACTTCTTCACATCTACTTCACGTATTCTTGAATTTACCCTAGACTGAAATCCCATCTAGTCTTCGCTGGCAACATTTTGTCTGTTTGTTCTGTTCCACAAACTGCCAGGTTGCCTTTTCCTTTCTACCTCCTTTCTTTCCCTCTCTCCCTTTTTTTTTCTCCCTGCCTTTGTGCATATAAATGGTTACTAAAGGAAAGACATTAGAAATGTGTACATACTGCCTATTTGTTTTTACCATCCAAGTGAAGTTAAATGCATAATTTAATAAAAATTAAAAAGTAAAATGTAGTGATTTGTGATGGACAAATAAAGGAAAGAATGTGGCAGTCTCTCCATGGCCACAAAGTACACTACGGGCTGATGGAAGGTATGCCATGACTCCAGGCAACGGAACAGAAAAATCTTTGGTTTTGTGTATCTGACTTCCAGCACTGTTTGTCATTCATATTAATGAGTAATGGAAATTATTGTATTAAGTTTGGTTGTCCTTTATTCTTTTCCTTTTGTCTTCCTTATTTCTAGCACTGTAGTTATTTCTGTCTTCCCTTTCTTTTTAATACACAGGCCTGAAATTAAGCATCAGCTCAAATATCCATGACGTAGGAGAAATCAATTAATATTCTTAATGAAAATCATTCAAGGAAGACTACCAACACTGCAGAGTCTCCCGTTTTACTCCCTACTATCATCTTGTGGGTCCTGCAACTCTTCATTTAGATCTTTATTTGAATGTCTAACATTAAAAGAAAAACTGATGCATTATAGGCCCGATGACAGATAAACTAACAAGGGCACTGACAAAGCCACAGACAATTGTTGCTGACCAAAAGTAATTCAAAGTGTCTGTGAAATTGTTAGAAGCATTAAGTACACTGTTTAGCAAATGTAATGCCAAGCAAATTAGATTAAACATTGTCTTAGTTAAAGGAAGAAGCATAGCTTTTCAAACATATAGGTCACTGTGGACTTAAAATATACATCTTATTTGCAGACTCTTTTAAAGAACATAGTTATTGTGAAAATCAAGACACTACCATAACAAGCTTTGAATTTTATGAATACTACCTTAAAAACTGAATGTTAAGATCATATTACTAGCTTTAGAGTCTACATGTACAAAAGATTCCAAGAATTGGCTTTCTGATACCATTTTATGTCCAAAGTCCTGTGTTCGGTAAGTGGCCATAAAGTTAGATCTTTAAATATGCTACATGTTAATTTTTCAAAGCTGTCTGTAGATTTTCCCTAGCAGCTTGTGTCGTGGCTGTTCCTGAGCTGTGTAACAACTGAGGTGGCGGCCTTTTTCACCATGTGGCCGAGTGACATAAGGATGCAGTGGACACACTACGGTTTCTGGCTTCAAGGTTATGAAGCATTTGAGAAAAGAAATTGAATAACTTGCTTTCACTGCACAATTTCTCTGCCAGTGCTTACCTTTAGTTTTGAGGATTATACTCCTAGCCAGCTTGCTTAGAGCTAACTTGTGTAAATACTGCAGAATGTCTGCAAGTATCTTGGGCAGGCTGGCAGGAGGGGTCCCCAGGAGACATGGCTTCTCCTTTTCTGAATCACAGATGTGCGGGCACAGTTATTTTGGAGCATGCATACTGACTTTTGAACCATAACCTAATTGCCGCATATTTCTCGTTGGAACTAAATCAGGAAACATTCAGCATTAATGAATCTAAATTTGCCAGTGGCTGAGTGCTACAAATGCCTGCTACTTATGACTAATAACTTTAAAACAAATCAAATAATTTGAATTTAATTGTACTCCCAGACTTCATTTCTCCAGCAATCCTGGAGGTGGGAGGGAGACAGATGAGCTATTACACATAAATGGATTCTCCAGATGATGTAGTCTTCAGGTACCATCTAAAAACTGTACAAATTTTGTAAGAATATCTCTTAAAAAAAGCAATAGCTTTGCTGCCTTTATGTCAGGGGCACAACTGAATCTTCCTAAATAACTGACAATCACTTCTTCCTGAGTATCAATTGTTTTATCATGCTGAAATACAGATGTACTTTTGGGGATCCTGAGGGGCTGATGGGGCTTTTGACCTTTTGGAAAACAGTGGCAGCCCACTGTGCTTTTGAAGTTTTAGAGGTACAGCTTTGACAGCTTTCCTGGTTTCTCCGTTATTGTCAAATGATATCACTTCTTGCTCTCAGTTTACCTGTCTGAAGTGCCCCTCATTCCCCGCCCACAGCCATGACTATTTTATTGCCTAAAATTGTTATTTGCATGGAAAATTAGAACAGAAAAATAGTAGAACTATTTCTCCTAAGTATGAATAAATGGGCTCAGAATGGAAGCCTGAGTAACTCTGTACAAGTGAAGTGAAAAGAGTTTATGATATGGTTTCGTGATATCAGTTTAGTCTTCCAACCAAGATGTATTTGTTTGATTTGCCATCATCTTGAACTTTGACTTTGTTTTTGGTTCTCTTTTAAGCTCTGAAGTTGAAATATCAGAACCTCAACCATCTCAAAATCTCATTTACTAGTCCCTATGGCCGTACTTTCACTTAAACTGACTTGTCAGTTTTTTGGTCACAATTTAGAAATTAAATGATTTGAATTCCCATTTAAATGATCATGCTACAGAGAGTACTGCTGTTTCAATTCTGTAGCTGCACGTGCTGTGTTGAAATGAACATAATTGAGCCTTGCCATTGTGCCACAATGACTTTCTCTGGTTCTCCTTATTCTGCAATTACTTTATTCTTTATAGGCTACCGATAAAATAGAAGTGTTTTTTTGGTTAAAACATAAGACTCCCTAACCAATATATTCAAAAGTGAGAGAGAGTCTATGTTTGATGAAATGAATTAACTAATACATAAACTACGAGAATTTTCTGTCTAAAGAATTTTAGTATTTGAATTTAATTATTTAACATATATATGGGAAATTCAGATAAGATTTTAGTGCAACTGAATAAGATCTATTTCAATGAAAAGTATGTTCTTGGTTATTATCTCCCATGAGGTTCTTTGGGATAGACGGAGAGAGATGGATGAAATATGTAAATTTGTTGGAAAATTCTTAAAAATCTGAGTGTGGACTCTTTTAAATATAGAAATAGTGATAAAAAATGAAGACAATACTAAAAGCATATGTACTGCACAGAAAGTAAGATCATGAATTCCACAAACATGAAATAAATGAATCATTCCAAAATTATGGCAATAAGAAATAAAATTTGACACAGCGTTGTAATTAGCTGACCTAATACTTGCATAGGAAAAGAAGATTTGGTCCCATTTTAGCCATAAGTATTTGCTGCCTTAGCAACTAAATCCGTTCATTTAGTGATTCAAAGTTTAGCTCAACATCTTGGAATGTGTAATGTGTGATTTTGAAATAAAATATTAACGTTATTTCATTTTCAGAAAACCTGAACAAAAAAACAGCAAAAGTAACATTAAGAGTGGAGACTAAGATTCCACCCAAGAAGGATTTTATTAGATATGGACTTGATCAATGTAGACAGGCAGATAATTAGGGAAGCGTTCATTTCAGGACTTTATTAGCATTTAATCAGCACTGTAAACTGAGCTACAGAGAAAATTACCACTTTATGAGGTATTTGGTTAAAGGAAAAGCCAGTTCCATTGATTCTTAGTATTGTTTCTAAATTTTTAAGATATTGCGATGTCCTTTCAACTCATAAAGAACATTTGTTTTGTATTGAGGGGAATTTTGAAGCCAAGCTGAGAATGGATTGTTTGCAGGAATAAGAAATTGAAGCAGTAGCAAGTAGCTAAAGCATTACCAGTTCACCACTAACAGAGCAAAAATGAGTTAATGAGCAGATTTTGGCTACAAGATGTAGTGGAATTTCTTTTTGTCTGAAAAGAACCGAATTTATCAATTGTTTCAACATTATGTTACCAAATTCAAGATGGCCAAGTCACCAAGAAATCATGAAAATATCAAGCCATAAATTTTGTGACTAGAAAAAAACAGTTATCACAGATTCTCTTTCATCCAACTTTGAACCACGCATCATGAGGTAACTTTATGAACAGTCATCATAATCAAGAATTTCTATCATATTCGATTCAACCACCAGTTTTAGAAAGAGACCAATTTTAAGAGGAAAAAAAGGGGAATGAGAATATGTTCATTTCTGTAATATGAGAAACTTGAACTATGTGGTCTCTGATGATCTCCAATTCTAATGAGTCTATCCTCTTGTGTTTCTAGTGTTTTAAAGTAATAAGGAAAGCTGGGAAATTTGTAACCACTTATTTCAAAGATTACTTAAGGGTCAGAATTTATTATTTCTAAAATTTGTGACTTCCTTAGTATTTTTATATAGTTTATAGCACTAAGCCTGGATTTACAGAATTTAATAAAGTAGGCTGTGCTCTTGAACTGTAGCTGAAGGATAAAGCCAAAGGTTTTCTTTTGAAGTTCTTAAAATGTTTTCTCACCATTCGGATGGCTTTTCTATTTCTGTTCTGCAGTTTTTACTTAACTTTCAGGAGAACCTGCTGTCAGGATTAAAGCAAATTCTTCCATGAAGGCAAATCTAAAGAGCTTCCTTTCCTGGCTTTATGTTGCCATAAACGGAATCCAACAGAATTGTCACCTACATCTTAACCACACCCCTGTAATAGGCATGTAACAAATAATTCTGAGAGTCATATTAATAGCAGGGAAACAAGATGTCTGCCAGCATTCTCACAGGAAGCTAGTGGTGAACGACGGAATAAAAGCCAGCCTTTCAGGGCGCTAGTGAGGCATTCTGTGTGGTCTCCCACACTGCTTCTCTTTTGAACTTCTCAATTCAAAAGCAAAAATACCATAGCTACAATGCCACCAAGGACGTTGGCATTACACACCAACAGACAGTCCCTTGCTTCTTTTTGGACAGTATCTGAACAACCATTGCCTTAGAGGGCAAAGTGAACATCATAGGATATAATGAAGTAAAACTCATAATTTCCCAAGTTTTGTTTCTGAGCCTATGTTGTCCTTCCCGATACATACCATGACCATCATCCAGGAATTCTGTGATGGTGGCCGAGGTGCATTTGGACCACGGCTTGGATGCGTCAATGCTGGTTAGGATGGAAGACATTAAGCGCTTCTCTTCTGTCGAACCAAAGTTCTCTTCACAGAATTTGGAATCGTCATGGGAAAGGCCAAGTAGATGTCCTACGGGACAGAATATAGGGAGCGCAAATGACGAGTATTTTGCATTTCTATCTTTCCTTGACAATTATATTAGCACTTGATTGTCCCCCCCTAATTGTACATGAGCTCATTTTAACTGGCTTCTGATGCAGAAACTAGATTCCCAGGGAAATTAAAGCTGCAAGTAGTTAGAGCAATCACTTTGGGAGAACATTTAGAGGAAAACTGAAAAATTATGCTAAGGAGTAGATGTTCCCATAATCCATCTGGATCACACATGCTCCATCATATGTAGAAACAAGGCCTTATTTAGGATCTAGAAATTGCAAGGCAACTGTGGGATTATGTCATAGCCCTCAGTACATATTACTTTGATTACTTGTCTAATTTTCCTCCTTCTCTGATCAACCATAAGCCCCATGAAATCAGAGCATCTCCCCCAACCCACTATTGAAACCTCTGTATTTAACTCAATATTCTGCAAGTTGCAAACACTTAATACATGGTTGTTGAATGTCAGTGACTTCTATTTTCTTGGCCAAGTAAGTAGGTAGCTATGTAAGAGATGACTGGAGAGAAAAGGAAAGAGAAGAGAGATTAGTAATTCTCCAGTTCCATGCCAATGTAAACTTGCTTTACTTTTTCATTTCTTTTAGCTATTTGGTGAGTTGTGAATGTTTATGGGTCCCACAAATAAATGGTATATTTTGAAAATACACTCATTTACATTTAAAAAATGTCTAAAATACCAAGATGTCCATCATGAAGTGTTACAGCTTGAAGAGAAAACAAATATTAGGAAGGTAAGTGATGGTCCAAAATCACTCAGCTAGGTGGTGTTGAGGTTAAGGCTACCAAACGTGGTCTCTCCAATCCCACCATGCCATTTCCAATCTACCAAGCTAGGTATTATTCCACAGAGTACATAACCACATCCTTATAATCTGACAAAACTGTTTTTTTATTCCATAAGAATCAATTTTCACATAGTTTAAGATAAAAGGACATTCTCCAATAAAACTAAAGTGTTGTTGAAAAAAAAAATCCAGGACAGCAGTTTGTAGAGAGTCTAAAAAGTAGACAAGTCAACATAGCAGTGTTTTTTTGCAAAGCTTTAGAGAATCATACACAAACCATTTAAAAAGAATGTAGAAAATACTATAGAAAAGTGATTACTACAAATTCTCTGTGGGTTTCTGAATGCCAAAGGCAGGAACTTCAGTCATTCTGCCAAAAAGTCCAGTGCACAGCAGTAAAACCCAACAAAGATGAAATCTTTCACACTGCATTCCAACTACTTTCGGCCAACTTGTTAAATCACCAACACCTCATAACAAAATTGTCCACTGAGCAGCTGGTTGCTGTTGTGGCTGAAATTAAGCGGCTAGGGCTCCGTGACCTTCCAAGGCACCACATTTTTATGCTATTTATGTAGTTATTTACTTCAATAGCTTTTACTAGGTTAGCAAGTTTTCTTTGAGAAACCATCCCGCTGCCACTCACGTTTTATTTGGTCAAAGTCATGAATGTGCATCATAGTCTGTAAAATAAGTCCCAAATGACATGCAAAATAAGACTGGCAGAAGCTCGTCCAAATTTGGGGTGGTATATTGAGTTTTTCAGGGAACTCGCAGCTCACAGAAAAACAGAACCTTTCATTCATGTCCTATTCAAAATGGCTTAAAGTTACTTAGTACATCAAACACTTGTTGACAATGCACTCTGTGCTTCTTGAACTTTTCCAAGGTAGAATCTTTCTCAGCTGACACAGTGGGATTTGTGTGGCAATTTCATAATTGAGTTTTTTTCCCTGGCAAAGAGCAGAGAGAGGGAAAGTGGCCTAAGGTGACCTCTGCAACATGATGTTTAGTTGAATCCAGGTTTTACATTTTTTAAAAAAACATGATTTTTGCATTCTATTTCATAAGATATTCATATTTATTTAACAGAGTGATAGCCTTTTTCCTCCAAATCCATATAAATAAATGGCACTTTCCATGTGCATTTTTACCACTGCATCAAGGGACTTACACTTCATTTGGAGGGTCGATTTTAGATTTCTGATTTAAAATACAGGCCATGTGGCAGACACCAAATTCACTTTGAGGGGCCCAGGAGAGTACCTCGATTTTTTCTTTCATACAGAGTAGTGAGGCAAATAATTTTAAAGATTTCAATAATGTAAGCAAAGGAGTTTATTTAGAAAATAATTTGGTATAATTTTATGAATCTTTTGGCATGCTATTTGGCATGCTATTGTGAATTTTATGCTCCCTAAATTTACTAATTTATCAATGTAACTTAACTGCTGCTAAAGATATGTATAAGAAATTCTTACATGGCTATCAGAAAAGATTGTCATTCTGCGCATGAACAAATCTTAGCTCCATTTCGGCAAGAGCTAAAAGGAGATGTGAATTTTGTAAGATGTCCAACAGTCAGCCAGGAATGGACTGCGGGAGGGTCAAGTGAGAGTGACAGACTCCTTGGAGGGCAAGCGAATGTTCTGTCTTCCATGAAAAATAAATCTATGACTGGCGGGGAGAGGCATGCTCTCTCAAGGGCAATCAGAGTCATGGGCAATGTGAAGAACGTTTAAGGACCCAAAGAAACAGGCAGCCAGTTCCACAGTAGCTGGAACGAGGACACAGTGAGAGAGACCCATGTGACTTCCCTTCAGGAGCTGGACAAGAATGGAAAGAGATCAATGTGAGGGATGTTTGGATGCTCTTCAGGAAAGACGTGACAGACATACCAAAGGCTATGAAGAGCAAAAGAAATAGTTTTTTCAAATATGAGCCCCCAATCATTTATGCTAAGACATCTAATATCAGTCTGAAATTTGCCAATATCTTTGAGCCCTGAAATGGCAAGACACATATAAAAGCATAAGTTACTTTACTTTATTTTATTTATTTTTTTTTGCAGAGGAAGATTAGCCCTGAGCTAACATTTGTTGCCAATCTTCCTCTTTTTTTTGGCTTGAGGAAGATTCACCCTGAGCTAACATCTGTACCAATCTTCCTCCACTTTATATGTGGGTCGCCACCACCGCATGGCTGACAAGTGGGGCAGGCCTGCAGCTGAGATCCAAACCCACAAACCCGGGCCGCCAAAGTGTAACATGCCCACCTTAATCACTATCCCTCAGGAATGGCCCCTTATAAGCTATTTTAAAGGGACACTCACAGGAGAGACAACACAGTATGATACTAAAAGCTCATTGACAGGGAAAAATTCAGAATCCAGGAAATTAAAAATGTAATATCGCAGGTGGCAATGATTTTAGGGGTAGATGTTGTGAAAGGGAATCAGAATTTACCATGATGTCATTGATCGCCTGGGACATCTGCCTTTCCCAGTGAGAATTTGTTCATGGATCACCCACACAGCTATTCAAACCTACAGGTGTGGACTGGAGCGAAAGCATTTCTCTGACAAACAGCCTCCAGCAGGATTAGTACGGTTGGGATTTACACATATGTGCCCCAGAGAGTAAGACAACAAATGAAAAATACAAAGAAGTGTTGGAGAAAATGTTTACAACTCTGAAAGCAATTTGCTGTTTTCATCTAAATGAATTTCACGATAAGTTTTTAGAGCAAAACAGAGCAGAATTACTTGAGGGATGAGGTCTTGGAGGAGGCAGCACAATAGAATCCAGAAACCCACAGAGAAAGGCAGTTCTTACCCTTGGAAAGACAGACATTTCTCTCTCAAGGCAAAGTATAGAAAAAGAAGGGTGAAAAGGGTTCAAAGCAATTGTGAATGGTAAAAGAAGAGATTTGAAGAAACTCAACCAAGCTCCCTCAGTATAAGAGGACATGAAAACTCCTAGTGAGAGAGATAAGGCAGATATGGATTTAGGGCAACAGTACATTATCAGAGTTTAAAGTTCAGGTCCTGAAGTTTCCCTTTGAGGAAGAATTAGTATTTGCATTTGGGACCACTTGTAATCAGCAGACACGCAAAAGACTGAAGATCAGTTTGTTGACTTTAACTAAGTTAAGCAATCTTGTTTCCAATACTATTTTTCTTACGGAATCTTTAATATTTTTATTTATTTATTTATTTTTTTTGGTGAGGAAGATTGGCCCTGAGCTAACATCTGTGCCAATCTTCTTCTACTTTGTATGTGGGATGCCTGCACAGTACACTTGATGAGTGGTGTAGGTCTGTGCCTGGGATCCAAACCTGAGAACCCTGGGCTGCTGGAGCAGAGCATGCAAACCTAACCACTACACCACCAGGCTGGCCCTGTGAAATCTTTAATTCTTGACTGAAGTCACTGGAAACTTCTCACCTAAAATCCTGAGGCAATTAAGGACCAAATGCACTTGTGTAGTGGGTGCACTTGTGAACGGCATTTGTATTGACAACTAAATAAGAAAAAAAAAAGATATTGCCAAAGTCAGAGTGTAATTTAGAGAATAATGCAATGATCTAGTCCAGTATTTTCCCAAGTGATGTAGATCACAGAACTGTATCTTGCTGTTTGAAATCATTAATAAATATCAAGGTGTAAATTGTAAGTGATTTTGTAGAAAATACTGATCTATTCTTAATGGCTATTAAATCATGTCATAAATACAACCATCCTACTAATGAGTGCCCATCACACAAAGTAACATCAGGAAGGGTTTTATCTGAATTATGCTAAAGAAAAGGATTTCATGGTAAATTACATCAAAGCAAAGACTATAAGCTAAGTGTCTGAGTTATATTTTTAGCTCAGAAATAGCAGTCTCCTGATAATTTTTCTAGTATGATAATCATCTTTTTAAATTGGCCAATGAGTGACACTTTATTAAATAAATTTCATACTCACAATCTAGGGTTAAAAAGCATCTTGCCTCTTTAAATTCACAAGTGAATCTGGTGTTAGAAAATCTGAGATAATGTATACCCGGGCGAAGACATTACTTTAAAGGAAAATGTTGGTTCAGCTTCTTATTCAACTCAGGTATTACTGTACAACTAGAGCTGACTTATAACATTAACCTCAGGAAGGAAATTGTTTG